ACCGAAACGCTCCTCTGTAGCTCAATCGGTAAAAGAACGTCAGGCTATATGACGGTTCTGTATAGGATACAGGTTCGATTCCTGTCGGAGGACGCATATTTTCTATGAAAACTTCTCGGACATTCAGGCCGGTAAATGTTGTTAATACTGTTTATTATAAACACAGCATTTACTTAAATATCTGGATCTATAAAAAGAACATATAAACATGAAAATGTCGTAATATATATATGTGTGTGCGTGTGTATGTGTGTGTGTATATATATATAGAATTGTCTGATGATTGCAAAAAAGTGAAACCTAAAGTTACAAACTCATATCCATACAAGTGAATATATATATATTATACCAGACATCGATTAGTTATTTCAGTAAATAATCTGAGGTTGTGGGTATAATTATTTGCATATATATATATATATATATATATATATATATATATATATATATTTTGGTCAGCAATCTCTATTTTATGCAAGTTTAAACAAGAAAAATAATAATAATATTAACAATAAACACGGCATCAATGTGCTGACCGTTTTAGGAAAACAAAACATTGACATAACTCTCGATATATAAAACCATCCATGTGTTCATGTAAAAGTAAAATGAACTTCATTCTTGTTAATGGCTAAAAGTATATCCGAAAGCGTTTGGAAAACATTCGTAAATGTTTGGCTATTGTCATCAGAAAGATAAAAGAAATAAAATCGCGATAGAGAAAAATAAATAAACCCTGGCGAAAAGATCTTCAAATGAAAAAAGCTGCTATAGAGAAGAAAAAAGTGATTTGTCAAAGAATTAGAAAGATGTGGGGGGAGAGAAATAAAAAGAAAATGGTAAACGCTAATTCGAAAAGAAAGAACGCAAGCGATGATTTCATATCGACAGAGTAAAGAATGTAAGACATGTTAACGTGATCCGGATTCATTTTCCCTAATGATTAAACGTCGATCCGAATGATTTTTATCAAATGCACTTATTATGGAATCGGTATGCATTCCAGGCGTCGACTTACTTCTGAAGCAATTATTATTATCTCCGTGGATTTGCAAAGGACAATTTCTTTATCTTGAGTGATGCTTGTCAAAACATCTTGCTTTAAATAAGACCAATGGCACAGAACATGCCACTAAGAAAACATATATATATATATATATATATATATATATGAAAACACACACACAAGTATATATATATATATATATATATATAAATAAAAAGAAACAGTGTGTGTGATATTTTTTTTTACAAAATAGTGCTCATGTATATATATAAACGTGTGTGATAAATAGATGAGTAACAAGTAGGAAATGTTTAGAAATTTTTACTTTTTTAACATTTCAAACTAAAAGCGAAACGTCTTAAATGTATAAACTTTTCAATAAAAAATGAACTGCGGAGAAGAAAAATTCTGGCAATTTTTAATTTTGTTCGTTTTTAATTGGTGAAGCAGACTTCACGTGTATGTCTCCTGTCAAGCTGCGTTTTTTGTATATTATCTGTATGTATGTGTATGGCAATTTTTATTGTTTTACGTGGAATTCGTTTGATAATATGTACGCGTGGTGCGTGTATGAGTTTGAGCGTCTGGTGGGGGGGGGCATTTGTAACTGTGTCTGGTAAGTTGTATTTATATTGACTGGGAGATGTTTTGTGTGAATGTAAAAGGATTTCAGTTACACCGGTTGTGTAGGTAGACAGATCTTAGAATATCAAAATATAGATTTTTTATGTATGGATTTTATCAACAAATATAAAAAAATGTGTTTGCCGTGTGTTTATAAAAGAAAAAAATCTTTATAAAGACACCCTTTAAATATTTCTTAGGTAATATGCTATTTTCTAATTAGCATTGCATTTATAAAATGGAGGTTATGGGATTTTTTTTGTTTCCTTATGTTATGAAGCAATTTTTAAGGCTTATTTTAGACGGAGGCTTTTTTTTATCTTAGTATATGCGCCCTTTTGATTTCAAGATGTTTCACCGAAGTATTTTTTTTTCCTGATAAGTTTTTATATATATTAAAGTTTAGAATCTGATTCTGTACTGGATCTATTTTTCATTCAAAATATATCTTAGCTTAAAGATCTTAATAATGGGAATAACTAGTTTGTTTTCAGATATTCTTGATAGAGTGCTGGTTCGTAGGAATCTGTATTTAGTAATTTTGCTGTCGGAAATAAAATGTTTTCGGTGCGGCCTCTTTTTATGGACGTTATAGGCTCATTCCTATCGTTGAGGATGAAATGATGTCAGTAGTAATGGAGTTTAAACATGTTTTTGTAATGTATTTCTCTTCTTCATCTGGAAATTATGGTCTATATATTCTAAGGGCAGTGAGGTAAAAAAGAAATAAAAATAAAATGATTTGTCCTGATATTATTTTTGAGGTACACTAGGGACAGAAACTGATTTACAGTAAACACAATTTATTATATCAGCAACTTTTATAAAATCCCTACTAAAGTATCTAAGATTAATGTACTTACAACCACATCCAGTATAACTTAAATTCTTTCACTCTCCTCCAAAATATATTTAATTCAAATGTAATTTGAATTAAATACAGATGATCTTTGATAATTTTTTACAGAAGGTTTGACATCAGCTGGTATAGTATAAATGTAAAGTTGGAATTTTATTTTAAAAAAAAGCAACAAACATGCGAAATTTCTACGGTGATAGACCCGATTGTCAGTTGCTTAAAATTAAATCAGTTCCGTTTTTGTGCCTGGCTTTGCATCCGTGGGCGGAGACTACTACCATCCATGTCCCCATTACTAATAGACACACATAGTCACTCCGCACCCCCCAAAAAAAAACAAACAAAAAAAAAACAACTAATTTCTTCTTTCAGCTAAGTGCTTACTGGTTCAATTTAATAAGATCCCCAAAAAACATCTAAACTATTTGTACATTCACACACACACGCACGCACACACACACACACACACACACACACATATATATATATATATATATATATATATATATATATATATAGTGATGCTCGCTTGGAAAAACCTTGGGTATGTTAGCTTGTAGTAGAACAAACTAGTATCCAATGAAAAATGAGGAATAAAAAAAAAAGACCTAATAACATGAAATTCAGGCGAAAACAATTGTCCAGAATTCATGCCCAGAGTCCAAAGAAAAAAATAAATTCCAAAATGACTAAAAGTAACTACGTAAAGTGCTCAATATACGAAGTAGAGAAAATCTAATATAAACCTAAAGAGCCAGATAAAACTACTTAAACGGATCGTCAGGGTCAAACTGGCCCTGATATATATATATATATTGTTTAGACGTTATTTTTTTAGATAGAATTATATAAGTAAACGCTCTGTTTATAATAAACAGTATTAATTATATTTACTGTCCGAGGAATTTTCATCGAAAATATGTGTTTTCCGACAGGAATCGAACCTGTATCACGCATAGAACCGTCATATAGTCTAATGTACTACATCAGCTTAGCTACATAGGAAGCGCTTGGTTAGTAAAGTCAAATTGCGGTTTTTAAACAAATTTCCCATGATTTCTCTTGAACGCTTTGAGTTTGCTAACCAAAGTTCTCTGTATTCGACCCTTGCTGAAAGCATGGTTGGCTTTATACACACCTTCACCACTATTATCAATTATTATCTAAGAACTGACCTGCTCGACCTTCATACGTCGAAAGCGACGGGTGAGTTCAGTTCAGTATATATATATATATATATATATATATATATATATATATATATATACAAGAACGCAAAAGATCCAACATTTTATCTTATTGACAACTAATTTTTCACTTTACCCATTTTATATACGCAATCCACTGAAGCGTAGTTTGTATTTGCATTTCTTTTCCAGTCTTTTAACTCAATGTACAATCTTCCAAGCGAAGCCTCTGCCAAAGAACAAAAAACCTAATCCAGCGAACAAGAAAAAGCAGCATCTACCGATTTGAGCAAAAGAGCATTATCCAGAATTTCTCCAATTCCCTTGTTTCTTCTTCTTTTACTTCTTCTTCTTCTTTTACTTCTTCTTCTTCTTCTGGTTTTAATTCTCAGTTCTATTCTCTATGAGATTCTATTCCTGTATATAATCCTTATTCACATACTTACAAGAAGGCATATTGATATTTATTAAGCACGTCTCAGTAGAACACAAGATTAAATTGGGTGAAGCATTTTTTGAGGAATAGACTATATAGCCTCTTCCGAAAACAGACGAACAAACTCCCTTGAAAATCACCATTATGAAACCTGAAATTTTAGCCGAGTTCGCGATAACACGACAAGCTGTTTGAAAATTTCCAAGAATGTTTTCACCTCTGTAGTGACACTGAAAATTTAAAAATGTACGGTTTAAAAAAAAATCTATGACATCTTTCATTTTATACATATGTATAATCTATTTTTGTAAAATAAATTATAAAAATGCAATTTCTAAAAAATGACATATAAAATAATTCTGCTATCTTAATATGATGTATTTTAATTATGCGATATCATATTTTTGATTTGATTTTTTTTTCATGACGGAAAAAATAAAAACTTAATGGATAAAATAAAAACTAGATTTATTTCAGTAAATTCTGCTTCTTTTTTCATTACAGCAAAAAATGATTTGATAATGTGGCCTATACGTTGCTTTAAAATTCCAAAATTAAGAATATTTGAAAGCCCCTATTAACACACTTTTAGTTTTTGCTGCAGACATTGATTTCTTTTTCTAGTAAAGACAATTTTTTACCTTATTTCTTTTCTGCAAAAGAGGCCAAGAATTCGTTTTTATTTTTTTCAAATTGACTTGTCCTAATGTTTCTTAGTAGTTTTTACCAATTGTTTTTACTTTACCGTTTTATTTTAGTCCGCTCTGAATTAATTTCACATTTTTATGTCTTTACTTTTTATTGCTGTCTTTCTGTTTTATCGAGTATTTTTTTTCAGTTCTTCAGTTAATAATTTTAATGGCACCTTTCTTTTGATATTATCCTTACATGTTTTGGCTGTCTTTGTACTTTTTCTTTGATATTTTTTTATTCTTTTTTCATAAATTTTGTTTCTTTTGTTTTCTTTATTTTTTTTCCTTGCATTCATTTTTGCTTTGTACTTTCTTTCTTTCTGTCTAGGTTAACTTGAACTCTTCCAATTATATTTCTTTCTGTCTTTCTGTCTTTCTTTCAATTCTACATTTCTATTTTACAGTTTTTTAAAATCTTATTTGAATTTAGTTTTCCATATTCCTTTTTTCTTTCGTTCGTTTTTTCTTCCTGTTTGTTTCCATTTCTTCTTTTATGTTTCCTTGTTTTTTTATTGCTTATTATTTTTGTCTTTCATCCCTTATTTCTTTCTTTATTTCTTTCATCTTTTTTTTTTATCTTTCTTGATTTATTTATATTGTTGTATTTTTCCGCTTGTCAGTTTTTCTCTCTTTTCTTTTCTTTTCTTCATTGTTTTCCATTTATTTTTTCCTTTCTTTCTTTTCTCAAATTTACATTGTTTCGACATATTTGATTGTCTTCATCATATTCTTCATTGTTTTCTTTTCACTTTAAATAAAGTTCTCTTTTATCTCTTTTTTTATTTCTCATTTGACTTTAAAATGTAAAAAATTTCTTTTCTTCTTTATTTATTTCTTATTTATGTTTTCTTCTTCCTCTCTTTCACTAACGTTTTTAATTGTCAAAACATTATCTACCAAAACTTATCACATCAAATTATTCGTTCCTCATTAGTTACGCAGACAGGAACCAATTAATATTCCACTCTTGTCATCACCTTCAAAAATAAAAACATAATGTTTTTCCAAACATTGATTTGGAATAAGAGAAAAACCCATGGATGAAATAAATGTTCTGCAAAAGTCCAGTCGTAGAAATTCAAATCTGTGCCAACATAGTAGGTAGCTTATCGAATGACTTGGAATGACGGCGTTACAACGAATCGAAATCGCATTAAAACATTTAAAAATGAATATTTCGTTAGTACTCAATTCTGCTAAATGATAGTTAGGCCTTTCTTCTTGCATTCCATCACTATTTTTTTTTTTTTTTTTTTTTTTTTGCAAATTCGAATTAGATTAATGATTGTGTCATTTATTCTTTCGGGAATAACTCTAGAAATCGAATTATTTAAAATCACTGCACAAATTGTCATATATATAATGGGGCAATAATTCGCAAATTGTTTAAATTACCAAGATTTGGTAAGATTAAGAAATTGAGAGTCAAAACAATCATACGGAAAATGATTGTTTTCGATCTCCATTTTTCGCCAATTAATATCAGCGTGAAGATATATGACTTTCAGGGCTTTCTTCTGACTTGGGCTTGGTTGATGCGAGCCTTTCTGTCTAATAGAAGTTCCTGCAGTTACATTTCTGTGTCAGGACTTATTTTGTAAAGAATGTTCTAATCAGTAATAAATCTTGTTTGGACTTCTAGTTCTCTTAGGAATGCCTCATTGTATAGGTTAAACTTAAATAAGTGAGCAATCTTTTTAATATGCTCCTTTATTAATTTCTATCCGTACGCAATCGGGTTGTTTCCAGTATAAATTCTGGATTTTTATATCTTTCTAAAATATCAAGTTTCCATAACAGTTCAAATAAATCTTTCTGCCAAAATTTATCAAATGCTTTTATGTAGTATGAATCTTTCTCAATGTTTGGAAGTATCACTTCCCAAAGACAAAATGTTTTCAATATGGTAATAGACAACACCGACATCTTACTTTTTTTAATAAGCTTGAATATTATATTATTGTCTATATTTCTGAGATGACATATATACATTATTTACATTATTTGGACTATTGTCCTCATCTTTGTCGCCATATTTATTACGCAGTTTCGGCCTTTCAGTATCTGTCTATATTTCTGATATGAGGTATTATGTACACTATTTACATTATTCGGACTATTCTCCTCATCATGGTTGCCAAATTTATTACAAGGTTTCGGCCGATGTACGCTCCGGCCTTCTCCAGGTGGTTGGAATGTCGAAGTGAACCCTTTATTTCGCTCACAGGGGTAGACTTCTAGTTCCACGTCCCATGTTTAATGGATGTCAGTTATCAGTTATCTCCTGTTAATTCCCCTCTCCAAATTCTCCACAGCCTTGACCAGGTATTGAATTCACACTCCTTGGGTCCTGTCACTGTATCTAACCAACGTCTTTACCCACTGTGCCATGTATCCAAACACCTGAAGAAGGCCGGAGTGCACAAAGACCGAAACGTTGTAATAAATATGGTGACAAAGATGAGTACAATAGTCCGAATAATGTAAATAATGTATTATATTACTGTTTTAAAACATATCCTGACACTCAAGTATATTATATATAATAAAATTTCACTATCAACCATGAGATAATACGTGTTTGGTATTTTTTAGTATGAAGCCGATCACCTCTTTATTATGACGCCAATCTGGTTTTTGTGGTCTTGACATCAGTGCCTACAGCCATATGTTTTTGGTTGTATTTACGCAAATAACTCTTACCTAACCTCTTAAGCAACGATTTTTTATGTTAGATTTTTTCAAAATATACCACATAAACGAAGCACTTGAAAAGAACGTCTATTATCAAAACAAAGCGACTGAATGCTCATTTTTAAACTATCAGGTTTCGTTATTTACTTCTTGCAATCAACGTGATAATATATTTGCTGTGTTTCTGTTGCGTCTTACTCATTACCACGATAACATTACAGGATGCATAGTGTATTTGATGTGTCTCTAGTCTTTTATCTTTAGAACTGTATTCAATAAGTCATGTAATGTGGGAAGTATTCGATTATAAAATTCATTATTGTCAAAAACAAACACTCCCTACGCCTCAACTGGAAATCGTTTATCCCATTTATTGCTGATGATGCTGGAAAATGATCGATTCATTGTTCCGCTTCAGTAAATATCAATCCCCCTTATGTGCTCTATCTTTACAAGAGCTAGATCAGACCAAATATGGAGTACACTATTTACATTGTTCGGACTATTGTCCTCATCTTTGTCGCCATATTTATTACAATCTTCCGGCGGTTGTACGCTCCGGCCTTTTTTAATTTAGCGAGCCTTAACTACATTGAATTCAGGTCTGAAGGATTTATGCAGATCATTTTGGATCCTTCCCCGGTCTTCTTCATTGGTAATTCTGTTGAAGAAATTCTCGAGCCTCTGGGAGATATGAGCTTGTAGTCTCTGTTTTATACAACGATTGTAGTGGATTCTCTCTCGAACAAGGGCCTGTCCCGCTTTTTCTGCGACCAGAGGGTTCTCCTTGAATTGACAAGAACCCGTGATGCCAAGCTTGAAGGGATGAGATGTAGATCTCTACTTTTTTTTCTATTTAATTTGGCGAGCCTTGACTACATCGAATTCATGACTGAAGGATTTATGCAGGTCATTTGGATCATTCTCTGGTCTTCTTCATTGGAAATTCAGTTTATTTCCTCGAGCCTTGAAGAAAGCCGGAAAGTACAACGGCCGAAACGTTGTAATAAATATGGCGACAAAGATGAGATCAATAGTCCGAATAATGTAAATAGTGTACATAATACCTCATCTCAGAAATATAAACAGATTCTGAAAAGGCCAAAAAGTTGTAATAAATATGGCGACAAAGATGAAGACAATAGTCCGAATAATGTAAATAATGTATATAATACCGCATCTCAGAAATATAAACAGATACTGAAGGGCCGAAACGTTGTAATAAATATGGTGACAAAGATGAGGTCAATAGTCCGAATAATGTAAATAGTATACATAATGCCTCATCTCAGAAATATAGATAGACAAATATGGAGTATTACTACCATATTTAGGTTGGAGTTGTCCAAGCCTCACTTACTTGTTCAAAAGCATTTATGAGGAGGTCTTATTATAATAGTTTTCCACGCTGCAACCCTTTCCTTACAGACGAAATGACATGAGTCTCTTGCATCTCTCTTGCAATGTCCATGACATGTGTTCTTTTGAGCTACTTTAGTTCCACCAACTGTGACCCGTCATGGCACTTACGTTCTACTCAGACAACTTCTTCCCAAGCACTCCCAGCAGGACACTCTCCCAATTACTGCAAACTTAACCAATTCAAATCGAGATTTTGTCTTTCCCGCATAACCTTCACTTTTCTTCCGATCGTTCAAGACCATGCAGTAAATCTCTTACTTGAGTGGCTCTTAGGCCTTGTGTTGGAATAAAAATAGTATTAAAAAGCGTTGCAGACGTCGATATGAAAAGAGTATTGAAGCCGGTGTCAAACTCTTAGAATATTTCATTCCAATATCCTTATTGGATAAAATGTTTTTGTTTTTATGTTTTTTTTTTCCATTAATATTAAATTTTCGAAAATTTATTAGGGACAGGAAGAAAATGAAAGACACAAGTGAACAGAAAGAGTACAATTGATTTTTAAAGTAAGAAAATCATATTAAAAATAGCGACATTAGCCATGTATCAATAATTGTCAATGTTGTTATATTTCCTCTATGTGTAAATCAACTAAGTTAATATATTAATTACATAAAATTAATAATATCTGTTTTATAATCAGCAGCGCCTAAGGAGCAATCGATAGGAATGATTGGCTTGTTTCAAAAATATAGAAACATATCGGCTGAGTTCGTATCTAAAGTTCACAGATGCTTCATTCGAGAGAAATGATCAGCAAAAGGAAAAATACATTAGACTGAACCTGATCATCGCATAAGGAAATAGATTCAGTAGAATTGTACGTCTCAATACAGGTGCGTACTAGCATTCGATCCGTCCACGTAACCTCGTTTCGTTACTTTAGATATCGCAAAACATAAATTAAATTACAGAACAAATGACCCCCCAGCCGAGATTCTATCGTCTGACTCGCTGAAAACTTGTCTGTTGAATGCGGAAACAGATTAGCTCTTAATCTATCAGTCCCGATGATTGAAGTATTTATTTAAACATATTTGGATCTTCCTCGATTGTGTTGCTTCGGTAAATTGCGTTAATCGATTAACCTGTGTCTTTTTTCCGCAGTTGATTCTAATTTCATTTTAAAGCTTTATAATGCATCGTGTATTGCTCCTATATATATTTTAGAGCCCCTTCTAGTTGTCTCAAGGTCGTTGATAAAATCCAAAGACGGATATGCAATGTAATTGGCCCTGATCTGGCATCTCGTCTGCAGCTGCTCTCTCACAGACGTGCCGTTGCCTCCCTATGTCTTTTTTTACAAATACTTTCACGGTAACTGCTCCGATGAGCTGCTTTCGCTGGTTCGCAGACTTTATGAATTTAAGCGTTCAACTAGGCTGGCATCTCACTCTCACCCTTTCACTGTCGAAACTGTTAAATGTAGCCGTCTCTTCTACTTCAAAAGCTTTGTCTTGCACTTCTCACCTGTGAATCTCCCTCCCCATTTCCTGTTTTCCTGCTAGCTATAAACTCCAACTATTCAAATGTAACGTCAATCGACGTCTCCAGATGCCCTGATCTATGCCCTAACCTTCTCTGCATCTTTTCCTCTATCACTCTTTTTTGTTCTCGCTCCAACTCTTTGTAACCTCTTGCTTGCTAGTGGCTTCCCGCCTTGCTTGGGGTTGGGTTGAATGCTTAACAAAAATAAAAATGGTAAAGCAGATTTAGATTTAGTTACTGAATATCCGTATATGGATTAAAAAAGCTGCGTGGTTAGTCTA